AGCATGCTAAGTGTTATGTGCTACGTGTTTATAAGTGATTCGCATGTCTACTCGCTTTTTATAGTCATGAATGAATGTGATGGATGAATGGACGTCACCACACTAGTCCAATGCTAGCTGTGGCCCCCTTTCCCGTCACCACACTAGTCCAACGCTAGTTGTGGTTCATTGTTCCGTTTCCACTAGTCCAATGCTAGTCGGAATTCACAGAATGGGCTAGTCCAACGCTAGACCCTTAGGGATTTCCCCTCGTTAGTACATGTTTGCATGTTCATTACATGTCATGCATTCTTTTTAGTTTTATCATTTTTGCATGCCCCTCGAACCCCTTTTCCCTCCATTTTAGGATTTTTGCATTTCATGCTAGTTATAGGGTTCATTTGCTTGAGAGTCCCCTTAAATATGGAATATAGACGAGTGTGGCTTTTTCTAAGCCTTAGCACGCTTGTATTCCCTCTATAAAAGGGCAAATTGAGTCACGATTTAGGTCTCCCCGTACCCAATATGCATACATTCCCTAGGATCATGCATCCACTCTACCATTTTATACCCTCATCACACTTTCATTTTTCTTCCCATTTTGCACACACCTTTATGTTTCTTCATTTGCACACGTGCATCTTTATCCCTTCACTTGCACACTAACACTTTTTTATCATCACTTGCACACATGCATTGCACATACCATACCTTGCCCACTCACGTGCACATTTTCACTTATGCATCTTTGTTTTTTATTACTTTTTCATGCCTTTTTGCTACATGCCTTCACATTGCATACATGCATTCCCTTCATTTGCATCCCACTCGCATTATTCGTGACTTCTTCAAAGGATCGTTATTGGGCTTCACAATTAATGTGAGTGGCCCACCACTCAACCTTTGAAGGGAAATTTCCCCCAATACCCCTAGGTCTAGGTTTGCATTCATGTAGTGCATCCAAATGTAATAATTCTTTGGTTTAAAACAAGAAAATCTTTGATTAAATCACGCAACCAGCCTTGGCTAGGTCAAAGGGGTCCCTTGGATTTTTATCCTTGCCTTTCCCCTTCGTCAAATGTGACTCCCGAACTTTTTCTTTGTTTGCGTGGATAGAGGAGTCGTTCAAAAGGGTTTCTTACTTTTTTCCTTTAAAAAATTCACTTTTTGGGTGACTTGGTACACCCTAACTCTATACCAAGTGGCGACTCCATTTTTCATATAAAAAACCCTTTTTGGACTATTTTTCTTGGGTCAAATCGTCGCATTTTCAAAAGTCCCATTTAGACCCATTTTTCTTTTAAATCACGATTCATTTTCCAATCACAAAAAAAAAAAAAAAACACATTTTCAAACCATTCATTTATTTATCAAAAAATGGGGCGCGACAACATCAAATCTCATCAAAATAGTTCATCAAGCCATTGTGGGATTTCATAGAGTCCACTCACAAGATTTCCAACAATATAAAGCTACCCATATAAATCTATGAGCTCACAAGTGCAATACAACTTATATAAACCAAGATTCAAGAGGTTGATCATCATTTACCTCCTTAGATGCTAGAGCAGAAATTTTTGGTGACCTTAAACCCAAGAAAACTGTGAGAAACAAGCTCCTTGCCTAGCTTAAGTTGATCTCCAAGTAGTTTGCAAGTTGTGTGTAAATTTTGGAGTGATTTGATGAAGAAACGAAGCAAGATAATGAAGGAATTTGGTCTTGTTCTTTGTGACGCCCCCACTTCTCCCAAGGGTGAACCCGAGGGTATCGGCGGGACGCCTGCCTAGCTCGCGCCAGGACTCAAAAATGCCAAACAATAAAAGCTAAATAAACCGAAAGAGTACTATTTACAATATATACAACCCCAAAAGTGTTCTATTTACATCCTCAAAAGGAGTTATCCAACTACTACATCACCTTATGATAATGACCAAAATCAGAAAATAGACCCGAAGAAGGGTCCTTACACAAATCACTAAAATAAGGATAACCATCTTAACTATTCAACTATTACAAGTAAACCTAACTATACTAGTGAATGTACCAAGGAGTTCCCCGCGTCGGCCCCTGCTAAGGAAAACAAAGGGAAGGGGGTAAGCTATATGCTTAGTGATTAATCAGGGGTAAAAATGTAATTTACATGTCAACATTTGCACAGTGAGAGCAAAGCAAAAGCAGAAAAGTAACATCACATGGTAAGGATACGGGTGTGTGACGACCCCACTTCTCCCAAGGGCGAACCCAAGGGTATCGGCGGGCCGCCTGCCTAACTCGCGCCAGGACTCAAAACTTACAATAATAAAACTAGATAAATCAAAAGAGCACTATATACAATATATACAATCCTCAAAAGTGTTCTAATTACATTCTTCAAAGGTACCTGCTCATACTATTACATCCTTATAATTATAACCAAAACCAAAGAGTAAACCCTAAGGAGGGTCCTTATACAAACCATCAAAATAAAAACAAACATCCTAACTGTTCAACTATTACAAGCCAATCTAACTATACTAGTGTATGTACCAAAAGTTCCCCCCGTCGGTCCCTGCTAAGGAAAACAAAAGGAAAGGGGTAAGCTATATGCTTAGTAAGTAAACAAGGGCGAAAGCGTAAATTTCACATAACAACAGTTACATAGTAAGAGTAAAGCAAAAGCAGAAAAGTAACATCACATAATAAGGATACAGGTGGCTCCAAAGCCAAATCGTTTGCCATGTGTGACCGCCTGCCGACACTCCGTCGACCACAATTAATGGTCCGTAGAACTTCACTTGTACTCCCATCGTACACCTTATCACCCTCTCTGGCCAGGCACCTCACAAACTTGCTCGTGACGCGAACGAAATTGAGCTTGGTCACAAGCTCGGGTCACAAAACTTGGTCCACATATCGGTGAACCGGATTCACAAAACTTGGTGACCTCAAACAGGTTGGCACTGACCTCGACCAAGCCCTACCGGGACTCGAATAGTCCATCTCAGGTCATTGAGACGCATCGGGCCCCAAACTCACAAATTTCACAAAATTTATTCAAAAGTCACCCCGAGCCACAAGCTCAAGGGGTTTAGTTCCAAAATGATTCATATACATATGTCATGTACAAATATGTGCGCAAACTAGGGTTTAGGTCGAGTGCGGTAAAGTACACCCTCGCCTAGGTACCATTTTCATACATATCGAAACGCATAAGCAACTAAAACGTAAGAGCGGCCTGAATACTTACACAACGAACAAAAGAACGAAAGTTTGAAATTCGTGCCGCGAGGAGTAGCTAGTAGGCCCCACCGGCTCCACCTAACTCGCCAACGTCTGAAATAGAAGATTGCGTCACATAATATCATAAACGGCTACTAATATGCCTAAAACAAGCAAAATGGCAAAATTGGCACATACGAGTGCGGAAACGGCACACGGAAACGGGAATGGCGGCCTAACCATTTTGCCGTCAAAACTGTTTTGAGCCTAATCGAAGCTATGAGTGTCGGATCAAGGTACATGAGGTACCGTTACGAAGCTAAGAGAAAAGGATATAACTTTCATGAAGACCCCTAACTCCGGATCTGAACAGAGATGGGTCGAAAGTGCAGAAAACTGTTCCCGGAATTCGCACTCCAAAGTAACGGACAGGGTATGTTTACTGGACTATAACTCCCAACTCACAAATCCAAATCAGGAAATTCCAAAGGAATTAGAAAGCTGAGACATAAGGCTAAAATGTTGATGTTTTGGCCAAGACCTGAATCCACTCAGAACAGAACGAAATTTGAGAGTCAAAGTACCCGTCAGAACTGTCCAGATTCAAAGGCAGTTCTGATGATCGATCTTGTTTTGGTCATAACGGGAGCTACGGAACTCGGATTTTGACGCACTTTACACCGTTTCGAAGCTAAAACCAAGATCTACATTTCTTATGAAGGAGTCAACACCCAGATCGTACGGTATCAAAACCGAAAAAGTCACGGGCAGAAGCTAAACTAAAAACGCACAGAATCTGATGTTCAAAACAGGCTTGAGTATTTCATCTATAAATCAGGATACGCTAATCCGTTTGACCTGAAATTTTACAGGCATATTCAGGACTTAAGAGGCTACAATATTGAAGAAGTCCACTCAGTCCAATTTTGAGTGTAACTACGTCAAAAATGTAATATACTACACCAGAATCGTAAAACAGGTTCACAAACCGTATTCTAGTACAAACATCATAAAATAGCCTACATAAGTCCAAATCCATAAATTCCAAAGCCATATGAAAGCTTAGAAACAGGGCTACATTTCATTAGAAGACCATAACAACCAATTCTGAAGCAATTCCAGCCAAAACAACCAATTACTGAAGAAATTCTTACATTCGGGTAATACCAGGATAGCAAGGGTAATGTCGACTTTTCTCATTCTACACTGCTCCGATTGACTTGAAATTTTGTAGGAACCTCTAAAATGTCATTCCCTACAACTTTAATGTTTTAAGCCAAGGCCAATTTGGCCTATAACTAGGAGATACAAAACCGGACAGAATTGAAGAACAATGAAACCCTAATTTCCAATTTCTCTTCCAAAACAAAAATTTCTTGCAATTAACTACCATTCACACCAACTAGCTTCATTGTGACGGCCCCACTTCTCCCTAAGACGAACCAGAGGGTTGGCGGGTCGCCTGCCCAGCTCTCGCCAGGACTCACACAAGCAAACCGACCAATTATCCACGTATAACTTAAACCAAAACACAATTCGCCATCCGAACATGCCAACCTTTAAGCGGCTTGAATACTAAAACACATTAACTTCAGAAATAACCTTACCATTGAACATCCACCCGTTCACTCCTAAATACATCTCTGACCAGATCACCACATAATCTCAAATATACAATACAAACCACACAATAAGTTCATAAAGCTCAGATAAAATTCATACAAGCCAAATCTTAGGGTTTGCACTTTTCCAGCTTCAAGTGGCAACCCAAAACGAAGATACAAGTATGATTCGAAATAACATTTACAAAACGATAAGATAGACTTCAAGTCTCTCGATTTCCGGAACCTGTTAAGGAAAACAAATATCGTGTGGTGAGCTAAAGCTCAGTGAGGTTCCGAACACATAGGCAACAAGAAAATCAATGCATTCATTACATATAACCAATAATTCAAGAGACAAGTACAAATAAAGCAATAAACACGTTCATGAAAAGGATACGGGCTCATAGGGAGCCATATGTTCGTTCGTTCGTTCTCCTGCCATTTCCCCTTATTCCTCCAGTCATTTGCAAAATGCTTTTTGTATAAGTAAAACCCCTCATTCATTCATTCGTTCATTCCTTTCATTCACCCCATCCCTGGCTTTTGGCCAGGCTCCACCAACCTACAGGGTAATACTCGAGTATACCGAAACGTTCACCCAGGTCCCTAATCGCTCGACCGAGTGCAATAGCCAGTTCAGCCCAAAAGGGCTTACATTCATGCACAAGTAACATTTCAATCGCTCAATCATTAAATTCTCACAATCATTTAGGCTAAGTGCGATAAAGTACACACTCGCCTTGAAAACTCGTTTTGACAATCATTGAAAGCATTTAACACATTATCAAGTAATAAGATCAAGCCAATAAGTCAAAGAAATATAACAAATAAGGAACACTCACCAAGAGTGAAGTTCAAAGGTCAAGCCGGGAATCGTAGTCCAAGTCCTCGTTAAATCCTAGAAATCCAAGTTTCAAAAACTATAAGTTTTACTAAACAAACTCTTGTTTTATATATAAAAGGTTATCTTATAAAACTAATTTAATTTCTTGAAACAAGTTATTAAATTTCTAAAAATCGAAGCTAGTAAAGAAATAAAATGTTTCGTGTGATTTCTTTTAAAGATATTTCCCTCTAGAGGCAAACTATAACCAAATTGCTTCAAACAGGTTTTCTTGCCAAATAAGTTTTCTATGCCATTTATTTGAAATTATTCAAATCTAGTATTTTTTTCCAAATTTCCTTTAAAACAACTAGTCAAGAATAGTTTTATGAAAACTTAAATTTAAAGGTTAAATACAATTACTCCCTAAAGGTAATAAAACTAGTTTAAGCAAAATAAAAGAATTAACTAGTCGGCAAGGTTTTAAAAGTCCCCATATCTAACTTTTTAATAATAACATACTAAGCTCAAATGCTATCACTTGATATTAAAACAAAGTATTTCCACGAAACTTGATTTTGAAAGTATTCAAGTTCAAGAAAACCAAAACGGTCTTTACAATTCTAGCTCATTTGCACAATGAATTCCCAAGTCATCAAGATTGAAACATTACAAACCAAACATCAATTTCACTAGGGCTTCATCAATCATTAGCCCTAGGTCTCAACAAATTCCAGTACAATTAAAATTCAACAATGGAAGTCCAAGGTACTAAAGCAATCCCAAATCACAACCCACGGACCTTCCAAGTACATTTCAACCAACCACTTGAACAAATTCACCAAAAATTAAATTATTGCAAAACCACTCAAATGGTCAAGAGCTTCATCAATCATTAGCTCTTGACAACCAATACTCACTTCAAACACCAATCCATTCAAAACAAGAATAAAAACTACAGCCAACTTGACTCCCAAGTAGTTCTAAAATTCAGATTTTCTTTTCTTGATCCGGTAGTCAAGAAAATCCCAGCAAATGTTGATTCAAAATATCCATTAAATCCTCATCTTTTACTTGCTGTATACACTAAACATATAACTTATAAGCTGCCCATCCCAAATTACAACAATTAAAACACAAATCCAGAAAATAATCTCACTAAAAGATCTCAATTAGTTCGGCCAGCTTTCAAATCAAAATTCCAACAATAGAGTAGTTTATTTATATAGCTTTTGTTCCTAGTTTTCTTCAATTCTTACCTCAGCTCAACATGCAAAAGGTGATTAGCAAGCTTCAAGAAAATCTTAAACATCCAATATGACAATCTTAATTAAAATTCGAAGAAAAATTAATTAAATGCTCTCGACCAAGCTGGAATATTTTTTTAACAGCTTCCCAAGTGCTTGAAGTACAAATTTTACTCTCCCTTTTTTTTTCACGGCCCATTTCGGCTACATGCAGAACCAAACCATGCTAATACATATGTATATTCATAATCCAGTTTAACATAGAAATTCAAGACCCAAAGTCATAAAATTAGTTAGGAATCTGTCTAGTTCCTCTCTTGGATAAGCTGGAAAATTTTTGCAGCAGAAAATCTCTCTCGGTTTCAATCCAAAATTCAACTTTTCCTCAAGCTTTCTTCAACTAAACCTTCCAAACATCTAAGACCCACATATCACATGCAAAAACTACCATTAGTTTCCATTTTTCTTCAACAATAACAGGCGGCAACTCACATGCAAGCTCTCGGCCACATTTTCAGTTTTTTTTCCCTTTTTTTTTTCTTTCCTTTTTTTTTTCTTTCCTCACGGTTCATCAGCTACATGCATGACCCAAAAATCAGTTATCTATCAGTTTTGATCCATAGGCAAGTTCGGACAACATCAAAACATTACTCAACCAGAAATTCAAACAATCCTGCTCTCGGTTGGCTTGCATGCAACCTGATTTTGTATCTTTTCAATTTTCTGTCTTAATCAAGGTTAATTACCTTCATGCAAAGCTTAATCATCCAGGTTTTAGTTGATTAAATGTGCATCTAGGCTCGGATTATCACAGATTAGCTAATTAGAGTTACAAATTTCCAGCTCAAACTTTCGACAGCTTCAATTCTTCCAAACCAGATTTCTTAAGTCTCAATTCCTCATCTAACCTCACAAACCCACATGCATGCGTATAGACAGCTTCATCAACCAATAAACAATTCATCTAAGTCCAGAATTTACCTTAGCCTGAAGCCTAAAACACACAGCTAGCAGCTGCAACAATTCTCTCTCTCGGCTGTCCAGAAAAAAATGCAGACCGCTAGCTCTCTCTTCCTCTCTCCCTTGCTCTGGCTTGCGGCTGGATGAAGGAACTCTGGTCTCAAGCTCTGCACCAGCTCACAGATGGAAGACAGACCGGATCACAAGTCCCTCTCTTCCCTCTCTGGTTTTACGGACAGAAAAGAAAAGAAACAGGAAGCTCGGCTCACTCTCTCTCCCGTCGTTAATTCCTATGTAGCTGCTCTCTCACTCTCACGGCAGAAAGGAAATTGAAGTTGTGATATTGTGGTGTAGTGTGAATGATATAGTGGTGTGTGGTTTGGGATATGAAATGGAGAGGAAGAGGGATGGTGCCGCTGTTTTGAGAAGGTGTTTGTGGTTAGAATTGGTTGAGTGTGGAGATGGTTTACGTATGGAATTGGAGAGAATGGGATTGGACAATTTGGGCGGTGATGGAAATGTTGTCAGAAGGGGTGTTTGGCCGTGCATGGTGATGGTTGTGGTGTAGTGGGGATTTTGTGGATTGTGAAGGGCATTTTGGTCCTTTCACTTTGCTCCCTAACCTCAACTAAAATCTCAATTCTAACTTAATTCAAACAATTATCAGAAGGGGTGTTTGGCCGTGCATGGTGATGGTTGTGGTGTAGTGGGGATTTTGTGGATTGTGAAGGGCATTTTGGTCCTTTCACTTTGCTCCCTAACCTCAACTAAAATCTCAATTCTAACTTAATTCAAACAATTATCCCCAAGTGTGATTTAAACGCCTAATATACACTAATCTTGCAAGACTTTAATTATCGAGATTTTAACCTCCTAAGTGTACCCAATGCACTTGTAACGGTTTATCAAAAATATATCGATTCATCTTAATTCTAAGGTTCCTATTAACACTTAACGTCATTAACGCTTAAAACTAGCTATCGGAAATTCAAGGAATTAATCTTAAAACAATAAAATAGTTTACATCAAGAAATATTATTCTAACTTGGCGGGAGTTAAATAACTCAATATTTTGCACGATTAACGTGTTTGAAACTTTAAAATTGTTTTTACATACTTATTCAAAGACAAAAATTCATTTTCCTGAAGAAACAAGACATTCAAGCAGGACAGCCTACTTCTTGAGCAAATTAATGATTTCAATGGTAAATTTATAATTCGTAAGTGATCACTTATCATTCTTACCTTATTATTTAAGTTATTAAAATCAAGTTTGACCTTAATATGTAAATTTAACATTCTTAATATTCGTTTATCCTTTTATATCAAAACTTATTAACTCAATCATTTTCAAACCATGAACATACCTATCTTCAAGTTTAACTTGTATACTTATTCAATCTAATATACTCTATATACATATCTCGCACATAAATACACATAACAACAAGGCCTTTCGTTGTTTCCAACGAGTAGTTAACAAATTTGCACTTAAGAGGAGAAAATGAGAAGAAACAATAGACTAAGGAAATATGCAAATTCTAGGGTTCTCACATTCATTCTCAATCATTTCCAATCATCATACATAGCCACATAATATTAATCATATGCAACCAGCAAAAATAGAAAACTTCATCAATCTTAACTAAAATCAAGAAATAGTCCACCAAATCACATTTATAACAACCACAAGTCATTACTTAAGCATCTTTAGATAGAAGAGAGAGGTTCCATAGTCACTCACCTTAGAACCAAAGAAGAGAGACCACTTAGCACCTTGAGCTTCCAAACAACTTCACCACACAACTCACTATCACTCACTTAATGATTTCTATGGAACAAAAACAAGGTTAAGTGGTTGTATTCTTGGATTTGAGAAAGAGAGAATCAAGAAGTTGAAGAGGTTTTCTTTCTTCCTTTCTTGAGAGAGAGGTTCGGCCAAGCTTAGAAAAAAAATGAGGAATTTTTGGTGATTTTTATGATTTATTTAGTCAATGGTAAGACAATGAATAGTAGTCTTACTTAAGGACCAATCCAAGGGTGACACTTGTCACCTCCATTAATGCAAGTCTATCACTTTGTTCCCTCTCACTCTAATCCATAAAGTATCCTCTAATTATCTCTTAGCA